AATTATGTCATAAGTTTTTCTATCATAGATTCTTACTATGCAGCAACAAAATATGCCACAATTTTTTCTATGTTTGATTTTTTTAAGGAACTTATATATTTTACATTTTTACATATTCAGAGAAATATTTTAGTCAAAAAATAAAATTAAAAGAAATATTAATTATATTGTAGTTAAAAAAAAAAATTTGATGTAAAAGGTTGATGAGAAAAATATCCTACTATGAACACTTGTATCTCAAAATAAAATGAAATACCAAAAATGTAATATCCAAATAAAATAAAATTGAGAAAATATGTTATTTAATGTAAAATTTAATGTCAAAATAAACGTTTTGTAATAAATTTTATTATTTTTAAATAATTTCCTTCATATTTTAATAAAAATTTGTCAATGAATCTATAAAAATTTTATATTTATAGTAATTATTTTAGAATAAATTTTTTCTTTTATTTATATTTTAAAAAAGCATTAGGACATCTTTTATCATTTTTTAATAAAAAAAATCAAGGTCATAACAGGCAAATAATTATGCTTGTGGAAGCAAAAGTTTGAGAATTACACTTCATGGTACAAAAATGTTGTTCAAGGCTTCATGAATATATATTATCATAATGAATTAGCTACTCTTGTATACATGATCATGTTCATGTATATGTATATACACACATTTATAACTACAACTATAAAGAAGGTATAACTAGATGATGTATATATACATATACACATATGTAGTTGGTAGGTTCAAGCTAATAGGTTCTATTAGATAATTAGACAAACTAATTATGCATCCTCATTTTATTGTATGTATTTATGTATAGACACGCAAATATAGGATAAAAATTGTGATCAAGTATGGTTTTATTTTATTAGATAATAGGTAAGTCCAAATAGATATGTTGATTGATTTGTGAGCACTATATACTAATAGTTAATAATAACTGAGAAAATAAGGTGTATAAAATTAAATTAGGTATGAGACGGTCTTGAAGTGATATATGAGAAAATTAAGAATATTTATAAGCGTTGTAATAGAGTTTAAGGAAAAATCGATACTAAAATATGAGGAAAGAAACTATGAAGATGAAGAACGTAATAGGACTTGTTGTTGTGAGAAAAAGATAAGAAAAAAACTTGGTTGATATGAGATTGAAGACAATGGGTTTGATTGTCATTGTCAGTTCATTATTTACAACCTATAAAAGAATTTAATTGTCACGAGATAAAGAGTAAGAGTAACAATTAATATTTTTTTTACTCAGTACATAAAAAAATTTAAGATAATAATCTATTTACTTTGAAAGTAGAAGATTATTAAAATAAATTTAATAATTATATTTTTATAGTAAAAGGCTTTTAATAACATATCATTTTTTGAAAAATCAAGGGTAAATAAGATATTAATAAATTCTCGAGAATATTCAGTTTGATCAAGTATATTTCTATGGAGAAATTATTCTTGCAGTGTTACAAAATTCAAATTTGAGATGCAGAAGGCATGTTTAAGCTTTAATAACTTATGTAGTCTTTCTAAACGTAAAATATACAAACGATTTTTGCCGAAGTTATATTTATATATTTAATTTTTTTTATAAACAAATATTTTTATATTTTGCATTAAACCAGTGGAGCAAGATTAATTTTTTTTTTAAGTTCATAATAATTTTTGAGTGTTTTAGAAAAAATTTAGAAGGGAAATAATGTGGAGAGGAATTTAATAATTTTTGGGAGACTTAATTCAATGATCTTGTGAAAATTTTAGGTAAAAATTTGAGTACAAATATATTTTGTAATTAAAATATGTGCATTAGGAGTATTTTTGAAATTTATGAAAAGCCAAGAAAAGTTTTAAAATAAAATTTAATCCCAAAAATTAATAAAATAGGGGTTTAGGGACTTGATGAATGAAATCAGAAAATTTGGGAGCTTTTTACAAATTATAAAGGGAGCTTTGGACCTAAATTAAAGAAAATTTCAAAAACTAGCGCTTTCTGTATTCAAAAAGTCAAGATACATCAACATATGACGTGTCTGG